AATTGTGTGAATAGTTCCAGAGGAAATTGCCGGGAAATACTTGAGGTGCAAAACGGCGGATATTTTTATCGACCCAATATTTTTAAGGTATCCGCATTTGCCTTTGGTTGGAGGGTGACGTCACCTCATATCCCTTAACTCTTCAGTTTTTAGTATTTATTCTGATTTCAAGATTCTCCGTATATCTCAGATACTATGCTTCTCGTATTGTTCATCCATAGTCCCTTCACTTTTCTTTCTCGCTTCAGTGTGTCTGTTTCTGTCCCTGTGCAAGTACGCCGTTTGCTTGGAACAGATTCCTGAATTTCTCATTTCTTCATTTCTTTCTGTTTCGTTCTATTTTTGACCTTCCTTTGCTGTTTTCTGTTCTAGCTAATCTCTCTTTCTCCCTTTTCTGTACAATTGCTCCTTCCAATAGATGTGGCATCAATTTGATCGCGTTCATGAAGCAGCAATTTCGATCTACGTTTTTATACATGTGAACGGTGGTGGCAGCATGCAAATGGAGTCAGACGTGTTGGTCGACGGGGTGGGACATGCACACGTGAGGGAGGTCGAGAGAAAGGCGCAGGTGGACAGAACAAAGACAGATGGGTGCAGAACTAGACGGTGTGGACACGCAACACGGACAAGAATGGGCAGGTGATGCTCACGGGTTAGACGGATAGGTAAAGGGAGACACGGATGGAAAGCAAAGAGGTGAGTGTAGACAAAACGGAGAGATGGGAGGAGGATAGGCACAGGAAGAAGTGCGGAGGAGGTCGGTGGACACAACTGGCAAAGAGACGGAGGGAGAAATAGGAACAATAAAACGCGGGCGTGGCAGCGTGACTGTTTTCTTCTCAATTGAGGGGCATGCCCCCGTTCTTATAGGTGGTGTCCTTCACCTACCTGATCGTGTCTCCTCACCTCCTTCCATTCGCGCACCCCTCCTCCCACCCCGCTTCTGGTCTGTGCACACCCTCCCATGTTGGAAGCATTCCTCCGCTTCCTCCTCCTCACCTCTCTGTCAATACCTGCCTCCATCCACCCCTGCATGTGATTCCGCCTGCACCTGTTTCGTCTCAACCCATCTTCCTGCTCCTCTGACTGCACTCTGTCTCCCAGCTTATCGACCCCTGTGTCCGTCTCCATTGGTATGTTGACACCACTGTCCAACCTTCAAAAAGTGCGAATCAAAATTGCTGCTCTGGAGAGGAGGTCGAAACTAACGGTGAGGGTCCACTGGTTCATTCAGAGAGACGTCAGATAACTAAAAAAAGATACCGAAGCAAAGGAAGCTTGGGAAAAGAAACGAAGAGTGCAGCAAAATACGAATCAAAAGGAAGTGGAAAAAAGATATGAAAAAAGGCAGAGGAAATCTCAATATACAAACAGAAACAGTTATACATATGGGCAAGGATGAAGCATTGAATATGACATAAATGCGGAGTCAAAAAATGAGAATAAAAGAGGATGACTTAAGAGCTGCGAGCTCAGCTGACGTTATTATCTAATTACAGTTGAAGGTTGAAACTTCAGAAAAGAAGCATTGAACCACTCAGAAAGAACGAAAATGAGGGAAAAATGGTGATAGCAGAGATCATCTCGTAGAGCACTTCTTATAATGAACAAAGAAAATTCACAAGAGAAACCAGAAAAGCTCGAAGGACCAGAGAAACTAATCACGAGGGGATCAGACAAAGCATAGGAATATTGGGTTGTTCAAGACGTTTCCGCCGTTTTAGTAACCCATGCTTGAACGCTTCATCTGTAATCACTTCTAAGAACTCCTGCCACTTATCTATCAATAGCAAGCTCGTCTCTGTCCAAACCCTGTTATTTCAATCCAGAAGTACACTTCTCTTCTTTTAGGACTCGAGTACAATATACCCAACAGGCTGTTATGCACGTTCCTTTGCTTCCACTGAAAGATCCGTAACTAGGAAGGTAACTCACTCAACCTCTTGCTAAATAGCATCAAAAGCTGAAGCTGCACATAATTAACCAGTATGAAAAAAATTTAGGAGACGGTGTGTCACATGGTTCAGTACCGTTTCGGGCCACTGTTCTTCCGGCCGAGGCGTGTCTCATCGCTGCAGATCTCATCAACCCCCCCCCCATTTCTGCTAGGGGCTAGAGCCAGACGGTGAGGGGATGAGCGGGCACCAGCGACAACGACGCGGTGACGGCCATGCCATATCGCCGAGGCACATTCTTCGCTCCGATTCGCGCGTCGGTTTGCATCCTCAGAGGGTCACCCCTAGGTAGACCTAGGTAGACTTCCCCTTCTTCGATCTCCGACATCGTGGAATTCTCGTTTGAGGTAACAGAAAAGGGTGGTAAATGCAGACACCAGGGGCTGGTTCCTACCTATTTCTTATAAATTGAGATGGAAAGAAGGATGGAGGACAGGGTTGCATCTACTGGTTTAGTCTTTCAGCCACAACACAACAAGGAACGAAATGACTGGCATTCACAAGCCGTAGTGAAATTGAAAAGGCTTTCAAATGCTCCTGTTTCTTCGAAACCACATGCGCAGGTGTGCAGAGCCACAAAGGCATTTGCTGGTGCTAAATTCTTCAGAACTGATTCACCTTGAGCGAAAATATTGCATCGGAGGAATCCAAATGTTTCTTGAGCGGAATATGTTTTAGGGAAGTCAACTGATGTGTTAACCATTGTGAAGGAAGTTAGTGTCGTTTCAGAGAAATAAACTCAAAAACCTGTAGTAAACACATTTTCGCTAGTTCTCGCCCACGTCCAATCTCTATAAAATCTAGACTAGTCACAGTTATCTCCGTCAGAAGCGAAAAAATGTTGGGACGTAAAACTTATCCGGTGAAAGAACAATCAATAAAGCCTGGCCGTTCTTTGGAAACAAAGAGTTTGATTCTTCTCAATCTTCCTATACCGTTTCTCAAGGTCGCGTCTGGATCCCCACTTCGCCTCTTCACAACAAAAAATTGTAGAACCTTTGAGGATGCACTGAAGGATTCTTAAAAGGGAGTTAAAGTAGATTTCAATTCCACCGAGGGTTTTGTAAGAATCAATTTCGCTAGAAGTAGTGCCCGTTTTAAGGGTTTAAGGGTGTTTACAACTCTCCGTGCGTTAGAGATGACATATAGCCACATTCGGAACGCAGCGGTGTTTGTTTACAGTTTGCCCTCCAAGAGGCCCATCATGCGGCGAAGGAAGAGACGCAGACGCGGCAAAGGACGAGTCGCAGCGCATACTGTAGCGGTTAGGCGTCAGGTTAAATAGAGTGTACCATACTACGTCTCATATCGCACAGCACGCGCTGCGACTCGTCCTTTGCCGCATCTGCGTCTCTTCCTTCGCCGCGCGATGGGCCTCTTGGGGGACACCCTAAAGTAGTGCCCATATCAGATCCGGATTCCTGTACTAAATGGGCGCTACTTTTATAAGAGGAAGGGCATTCGGTGGAGTGCACCCTACCAGTGTGCCGTACATTCGCACTATGTTTGAACGAGGGGGTCGCATTTGCGATTATGGGAAGGGAGGCGTCCCATTTCGGAGTTAAGCCAAGTTCTGTGGGAAGTGTGAAGGGGGATGGAAAAAGTGGTTGCATTCGACGATCTTCGGCGAGTTTAGCGAAGGTTTAGTGAAAGTAGGATTAAGTCTTCAAAATTACTGGATTCACTGTTCCATGGTGCACCCCCCCCCATCCCCTCCCCACCGTCCGTAGGGCGGTTTTGGAGAGAACGAACTGAATGTGTCGACTTGTGTCACAATCAGATACTCATACTGTGGAAGCTATGATGGTGAAGGTGGTGGTCGGGCATGGGGGGAGGAGGAACATATCGAGGGTTTCCTTCTCCTAGGCTCTTAGTAGTGATGCGGGTCGCATCGAGATCCCTCTTTAGGGGGGGGGGAGGCGCAAAATTTTTGGAAGGCGAACGTGCGGTTAACCATGCTACTTAATGTCTACACCACTCCCCATTTTTTCACGGGAAAATAAAATGGGAAAATGGGAATGGGAAAATGCATGGTGTGCACCGAAAAATTCTGAAAGTGACAAAAAAATGTTTGGTATGCCTTACAAAGCAACTCAAGCTCCTTCCCTATTCCCTCCCCCCTAACGTTTACCATGTACTGAAATTAGTCTAAAAAAACATCATGTTAGAGAAAATGAATAGGTGGCAATAAAAAGACAAATAATAAAACCACCGCACGTGCTGGTGAACGACCGACGACTGGGCGGTGTGGGAGGGCGGAAGGGTGGCCCGTGGGGTCCAAAGTTCACTGAATGGCATTGACTTATTGAGATCAAAATTCGATTATCCGGTCAGTCAAAACTTAAGTTAACTTGGTTTTTTAGGAAGTTGCGAGGCTATAAACGGTTGTACGTACCCCTGTGTACTCTTCTCTTCGCTTCAGCCCCCAACTATTGTCCCTTGTCGGTTTTTTATCAGCAGATTGGTTCCGATCTCAGATCGGGTCCTCATCGACCCTCCTGCCGTGGCGCCTGGGCTAGTCGATACCAGCACCAAAGGAGTGCCACTTTTCGTCGCGAAACACCATCACGTCGCTTCCATCATTGGTCGGTAAAGATTGAATTCATGCCAAGATATCCGACCACGACTTCACTTTTTTGGACGACAACCCGTCTTCATCCGTCATCTGACACTTTTTTCATATTGTTGAGCTGTGAATAATTAATGATTTATATAGATTTCTAATAACAACTGCATAATTACTGCAAAATTTCAATCAGTAGAATACGAAGGAAATAGGTGAAGTTTTGAATGGGAGTGTATAGAACGTACAAAGAGAACCGGAATGACTGCAAATACGAGTAAAATACACGTTGGAGGCGATTCAAACAACAAAGTTGCGGCGGAAAATGATGGCATTGAAAAGAGAAATGGGGTGTTTCAGAAGTCGGGTATCAAGGTGCTCAGACCTAAGAGACGACGATAATGCGCCATGAGGGAAGGGCAGGATATGTTTCTGTGTGGAAATGACGCGAGGACCATGGACTTGATAGTTCTCAACGGCTATACGCAACCGTATTCGTACCACACGGTGCTCTCGTTAGCTCGTACTTCGGCTTGTTGCACGTTCTCATAGATGCTCATCGCCTTATCGAGACGTTCTTCCTGGAAAAGATGACACTGATACAAACTGTTTGAAAGAGGTGAGTTCGGCATGAAGACAACGCTTCCTCCAAGACAACAATTACAGGTCAACAATGTGGAAGGAAACTGAGCAAGCCACATTGATTTTTTGTTGATTTTTAGATTAGATTTATTAACAATGCCACAGCTCTTCTGAGCTTTGCTTATTTGCAGAAGAAAGCTTAATTTGCTGGTTATAAGGTCTTAAACCATTCACTAATGCAACACCAACCTTTTCCCTGACGAATGTTCTGCGCTCGCCTTCACCTACGACGAGGTCCAACGGTTTCCCAATCTCTTTAACCGGTGACCCTTTGTCGCTCTTGGGTGTTGAAGCAGACTGTGGCACGAATGATGAAGGTAATGGGGTGGAGCAGGAGGAGGCAGTCTGAAAATTGCAACAGGTAAACAACAACACTGAAAACTCACAGATAACAGCTCAGGAGATCAGGACCACTACAGACTATCGTCTAGCAAACAGAAAATGATAGTTCGTTCCCTATCATATATGAGGGCGCTATCGCAATATACGGGGGCACTGTAGAGGCGTGCATTTGAAAGCGAGTAAAACATGTCTTTTTTATTGCAAACGGGACTAAAGTGGATTAGGCGGAGGTGGAGAGACTCTGAATGCGTTAGCCATTTCCATTTTCCCGGAGCTCCTGCCCACCCCCTGGGCTTAGTGTAGGAGTTGCCCCCGTATACTGCGATAGTGCCTCATCCTTTCCCTACAGTTTTACTAAAACGAGTCTTGGTGGAAAACCAAGTCTATTTCTAGGTGGAACTTGATCTTAATCGAAATTCCACGCTCCTCATGAGAGAAGCCACCGTGGTCATGATTCACTTACCGATGACGTCCGACCAGGATACGGTGGCGGTTTCTGCTTTCCATTTGAGAAGTACGGCGGTGGAGGTGGGCGAGTACGCAACGAAGCGGTGGCAGCGCTGTTTCGAATGGGAGCTCGTGGTGGCAGAGCCGAAATCATCGGACTATCAGCTGACCTTTCTGGACCTACACAAAAAAGTGTTTCATTATCCTCAAGGGGAGCGGTTGTCTGAACGAAGGTGTACGCACCACTGCAGGAAATGCGATCGAGTGCGAGGGTCCTGCGAGGTGAGTAGTCCCTCAGTGAACCGCCGACGGCGTCACCACGGAAACGAACGAAGTCATTGTTGATCGATTCTAAAAACAAGAGGTTTCAGTTTTTTGTGCAGTAACGGCAGTAACGGTAGAATCCAGTTGAACATACCTTGCGGGGTGCAGGTCGTTTCATGAGGAGGAGTGATGCGATCGTGGTCTTCAGACGAGGAGCACGTTGGTGGGAACGGATCGAAATCGTCAATTCCTGAAAAGGCCAAATAGTATGACTGCTATCAAATAGACCCAGAAGCCGAGGAAGTGGCGTGCAGGTTCTGCCGTGCACAAGACAGATAAGCTCAAATTGAGCCACTGCTCCTGATGGATGAGGGACGGTGCGGGTTTGATGATGTCATTGAACGTCAATGGCGGACCAGGCCCTTCAGCGCTTCAATGTGGTTGAGACCGCCTCCTGATACTCTTCCACCAAAAAATCCACGAAATCACCAAAACCACGCCCTCCAACTCTGCTACTATGGCCTTCAAGAATTGAGCGACCAGGTACGGGTGGCGTTAAACCGGGGTTATGATTTCACGTAAATCTACCAATGATCACAGCTCCTTGTCGACCTTCTAAATCTAATCAAATTCCGTTGAACTTCAAACATTCAAGATTTTTCTTAGGAGACTGCGGTTCATAATAAACCAAGCGCCTCGATTATGCTCGTTACCAGCTGAAGCGTTTTAGCATAATGTATTGCTTTTACGTGTGCCTGATCACCATCTAATTCAAAATGCAAGCACATCACGAAGGTGCGTAACGGGGAAGAAGCTCTTCCGCTCATCACCAATAAACACACACACGTTACTAGAAAACGGTAGAAAACAGCAGGTGCAATGACCACCCAGATTTGGCGTTGCTCAAACACCACATCCTGATACGATTCGATTTTCCCCTATATTAATTGATTTTTCGCTCATATCGGCCCCTGGTGTGATCTCCGAAAAGGACTTATCCCAAGATTGTCCACCTTTCCTAATTTTGAACTTCCATTTCATAGCTTCCCCCGACAAGACTATTTACTTTCAACTTGTCTCTGATAAGCACAAGCACATTTGAACATAGCACAATAGGTTGTTTTGAGGCATCAAAATGACGCAGCTCTTAATATAAAAAACAGATATTGATTTCAGGAGCACGAAACTAATTACGAACTCAGTACCTATTTCAAATTTCGTGCTGGTGAGGAGGGCTGAAATCGGAAAGCAACATGGCACATGAACCCCTTCAGAAAAAATGACTGCTAGACTAAAGTGAAGGGAATAAGGAACCAATGCTGATGTTCATGCCCAGGGATACTTTATCTTCAACGAACTCGCACAAAAAGTACGGCAAAAAAAGCAGAGCGAGCGCTTTCTGCGTCTCTTGCTTGCCAAGCGATCACAGCAAACATCTGAGGTGACTCGGCACTCCAGGTTGAATCACATAGAATAACTAGTGAATGTCTCGCTCGAAACCATTCGTAATCACTCAACACACAAATCGATTTGTATCTTATACACAGCAATCTTCCCCTCTCGTAGTCGCAACAGAACACCCATCGAAAAACTGTAATGAACGTGAAAGTGTGTGCAATAAATAAAACGTGAACATGACAAATAGACTTTATCGATTTATTGATCTGACAAGGACATTTGGACAGCAGGACATGATCACAGGGAGAAAGTGTGCACATAGAACTATATTGTCTACGAAAGACGTGACGCTTCAACAAGGCAACAATAAACACGCACAAAACAACGGACCCATACAAACACAGTGAAAACACTACGGCAGTGCGCGCATTCTACGCTACCGTAATCCGATCAATTATTGATCGTTGGCATCATACTGTACATCGATCATTTTTCGAACATTTGGATTTGTATAGGCGCCTTGAAAGGTGTCATCACGAAACGTGGCGCGTTTCTTAAACGACAACGGCAATCGCAGCGACGCCTTACCGTACATGGCGCTGCGTGCCAGGACCTTTGGTGCTGGTGGTGCAGCCGTGTTGGCTGGTGAGGTCTGAGTGATTTGTGCAGTGGTGTCTGCAGGTGCGGCACGGTTTTTGTGCAGGGATTTACCGTTTACGAGTGGCGGCGATCCTTCATCGGCGCTGTACACACTGCTGTCTTCGGTTGTCGAACCACCGCTTGGCACCGACGGACGACGCTGAGATGAGCAGAAGTTGGTAACGAAAGTGACTTTGGCTCGGTGCTAGAAAAACCAACCCTGTTGATCAAAGCCTTTGCTGCGCGTTTCACCAGGGGTTGTTTCTGTCGCTCAGCCAATTTCTTACTTTCCATCGATCGATATTGATCCATAATTTTCTCTTCCAGTTTCTCTTTGTGACGTTGGAGAGCGTTCAGGCGGTCCTAAATAGGAGGTTTAATTCTCTATGTGGGTTTGTGGGTGGGTTTAATGGAGGTTTAGGTGAAGGTGAGCGATTTGTTGGTACCTGGAATTGCTTCTGCTCGAGATGCGCCACGTTCTTCTCAGTGAGGGCTTTTTCTTGAAGTTCTCGATTGTAGTGCAATAACGTTTCCACCTGAATCTTTTTTAGCGAACTCATAATAACTATGAACAGTTGACGTAATCTTCGAAAAAGCCACAGAATGTGGATAAGCTCTACCACCGCAGCAAACAAGAAAGGACGCTTATTGTCTGCGGACCCGAAAGTTTTTCAAATCCTATCCCCTTAGTGAATTCAAGAGATCGGAAAGGAGCGTTGAATTTGAAAAATACCTGGCGTCCTAGATTTTTGCTCTCTTCCTCGTAGACCCGATTCACTTTGGTCAGCAGCTGAAAATTAAACAATTTGTTCGAACAATTGATTTATTGAGGTATACCTATACTTTAAAAGGTAAGGTGGAGTGGAGCGGTAAATGGTCGACGTGCGTACTTCTTCCAGAAATGTTTAGCGACCCTTCTCAAATATCAGCGTATAAACGACCCTTTACCCGCTCGAATTCTCCAGAAAGGACGGTTTGCTCTTAGAAGTGGGGGGGGGGGGGCATTGGCAAATGGCTGCGTTACCCGACGATAAGGTCCACGACTGAAAACCGCTCGGAGCGGTTAACTAACCCGTTTCTATTGGTCAAAAAATTGATAAGGAAATTATTTGGGAGATCACAAACCCTAATATGTATAGTTTTTTTGCCATGCCAAGTGTGAATTTAGACAGCGTTAAGATTCCAAACGGAAGTCGAATGTGGGGCGTATACGGACCAACACGGATCGATGTCAAGCGATTTTGAAGGTTCGATACACTTCCATGTATTGGTCATTAGATAAGAACCGAAAAATACGTTTAGACGAACAGTTATATGTAGACATGACTGCGACAAATCGGGACAAACAAGAATACCCCGAGTTCTTGGTCAACCCAAGAGTCAAAAGGTGGAGCTGTTTCAAGGACTGATTCAGAGAGAAACAGACCTCGATGGCGTTGTGAAGCTTTGCAATTTCGAGCTCCTTCGCTTGAATGCTCTTCGTCTGCTCCTCGACCGTCGACATCAGGTCTTCGACGGTGGCTCGTTGAGCTTGCTCGGCAAGTTTCAACTTTCTCACTTCCGAACCAAGACCATCGCAGTTTCTTGACAGGCAATCGTTTTCCTTCCTAAAGCACCAACGATAAGCGACTTGTGGGGTGAAGTCTGAGATTAATGCACCTAACCTGATCTGATCCAGCTCTCTCTTCAGAGCCCCTTGCTCGTTGTGAAGATCAGCATACGCTCTTAGCTGACGATCTCTCTCGGTTCGCTCATGCTCGAGAGCCGTTCGCATCTCGTCCAACTCACGTGAATGACTGACAGCGATCGGCTGAAAACGGACGATATTGAAGAGATGACAATATGTCATATCCTGTGACCTTATCAAGTACATCAATGAACGTTTGAGGACGCCAGATCCCTTTTCATGACCCATTATCTAGCCCCAATTAACCATTACTATTACGAAACAGTTGATAAACGACCGAACGCAATCGTCAATCAAGTGCGCGATTAGCTAAGTAATTGAATCTGTAGTTACGAAGCAATAAAAGCCTGATCTTGCGCAGTTCGGAATGTTCAAGAGACATTTTTGTGGAAGAAAAGTGAAGCCGGTCTGGGTAAAGAGAACCATCCTTCAGCCTCTGTTTAGTGATAACAAACTATGCATGAAAAATTGTTTTGGCAAACACTTTTGACATCACCGTACTAGAAGCTGGCCCTCTTGCCTCCTCACCACTCCCCGAAAAATGTGATTTAACCCCAAGTGATGCAGTGAACCTTGCAGCAGCACAAGCTTTAGAAACAGGCATCCGCCATCTGGCAGCTAAGAAAGAAAAGTCTATCGAAATAAAGTTTTATCCACAGCTCAATGATTTGCTGGAAGATACGCGGCCTGTTTCGAGCTACGAAATAATCTTATAAATTTCTTTTTCTTTTCAAAGTTGTAATTAAAATGAAAGACGAAATTGGTAACACAAATTGGGTAAGACATTCTCCAATTTCAATACGATTGACTGGATCTATTACTATACGTCACAAATCCTGTCGGCAGGGTAGAGAGAAGACAGCGCAATTATCCCACACATGGTGCAAGATAAAATTCGCCACGGAGAAGTGCTCAAGAACCACGTTTCAATATCATTTTCTCGTATTGAAAGCGCGTAGGTGTGATGAGAACATCTGGCTGGATGCGCAAGAAATCCAACGCTTTGAGTCGCTACAAGTGAATGGAGGCGCAATAGTGTCGCAGCGCATTCTGAGGCAGCATCGATACCCTGTCAATTCACGTCTCTACCCTTGCTATTGGTCCCGAGCTATTTTTATGTCATCCGTATAATGTACGCCAGTGTGAACCTGTGCAATTACTTCGCATGGTCCTTCTCGCAAGTACCGGTAACCGCGACACAATCAGCGTGTGCCTGTTGCCAGCGAGTTACCATAAATTACGACATCTCAGTATAAAACTGGTGAGTTCTCATTAACAAATAACTAAATAAGATAACGTTGAAAAATACTAGTTATAGAAATCCGCCGGAAAATAGATGAATATGCAACGTCTGCAAAGTATTAAGTACTGCATACAGCAAGCGCTGCTGGTAAAAATGACACGTAGTACAACTGACTCTCCAATGGAGCGAATGAGTTCAAACAATGTTGTAGGAAGGACTAGCGCCATTTCCGATTCCTAAACGCAGAACATTGCCGCCTGTAGGTATGGAAAGTGTGAATGAAACGGACAGCGTGGTGCCTTAAGACCGATTGTAGGCCCATTCAATCCGCGATTGATGGATGTCCGGTGGGAGTGGACAGGATCACCATTGAGATGGCGAGGTCCTATGCAGGTGGGTGACAGATGGCTGTCAAACCCTCTATTCGAACAGCGGAACACATCGAGAGAAACAGACAATAGCGCTCGTTTGCTGCACGTCCTCCATAAGATATCCAACACATGCACAGCGTGCAGTCCCCAAATCGGAAAAAGCTCCGGAGTGGTGAAAGGGAGATGAATTGACCAAAAGCTCGAGAGCCTAAACATTCCAGGGGTCGAAAAGAGGGAAGCAAAGGAGCGGGCATTGTGATAGCTCAGTGGAGAACTAGGTCTTTAGCGTGGCAATCTAGAATTTGAGTGGATCAGACTGTAAATGTACCGATATGGTAGCTGCACTGCCAGATCATCTGGGTCCTTTCTCAAAACGACCGAGGAAGGACGAACGAGAACTGGAACATCTTAGCATGCCGCATAACAAAGAAGGAAAGCATCCAGCGAAATTCCGTGGAACGAATTCGAGGAGGAGACCAGATGTTTTCAATTTGGGAAAGCAGGCTGGAATCGTCGAAGCCTAAGGGAAAAGAAGACACCCAAAGAACCATGCTCTCCCATAAACTACGCCATTCGCCCAGTCTCACAAAAGAAAGGCGATACCATAAGCGTTATAACTACACTTGTCCGTGATGCAAAAATCGGACGTACACGAAAAGTTCCTCGAAACATGGAGGCTATGCCCCGTTCCTGAGACGGGAAACATTGAGATGCTCTTTTGGGTGGTGGGTGCAACTTGTGACTGCCAGATGATGTCATCGTTTCGAACAGGAATTCACGATAAGAACGAAGGTCAAAGAAAGGGAGAAATTGCATAGTTGGGAGACAGGCGGACCTCCTGAGGGTGCTGACCGACGCGCAATTGGCAGCGAAAGATTTGACCTCGGCGATCTAGCATGGCTCACTCTTGGCGCGGTTGGCGGGTACGCCCACCGACTATCTAATCACTCGCCGCAGGTCTATACGTGGCGAGTGATTAGATAGCAGAGAGAGCGTAGTGTTGAAGAGGGCACAGCGATGAGAGTCGCATCAATGCGCAAATCAACGGGCAAGGAAGGGGTCCCATTTCTCGGGTTTCGGGCCGTTTCAAATGGTTTCTTCTTCATCCCTGCTCCACTGACCACCTCTACCCTTATTTCCAATGAGCTAACTTTTCATCGTAAATTCTGCCTTTGAGCTATATCCTTGAGATAGGCACTTTCGAAAAATCCAGTTAACCACAATGACGTAAAAAAGTTTTCCATATTCTCTAAAATACCCTAAATGGGAGTAGTCGGATCCCAGAGTAATTTTTGCACTTGAAACTTAGGTGACACAGATATATTGATATTTCACTGTCAGAGAGTTCGGCTATCTCGGCGTTCAATACGCCTTGCCGCCTCTTGTGGGATCCCTAATAATTTATTTTATCCAGTAAAATCCAGGGTAATGTGCAGACTTCACTTTCGTCTACAATGAAGACAAACCGGGTACTCATAGATTCCAAAACTGCGGTCAACCAAGTTGTTTAGCCTCACCCAAAGAAGGATACCACGGCAAAAAATGGAAAAGAACCAACCCGCTGCGACTTGAGCTTCGATTTCATGTCGACGTTTTCGAGACGAGCCCGTTCGTAGTCCTGGGTGAGCAGGTCGTGCAGATTCTGGAGACGATCGTGATCGGTCAGAAGTGCCTGGTGCATCGCCGCCAGTGAATCCTGAACAAACGCGGGATCAATTACGGATCGAACAATTAGCGACTACTGTAGCCGCGAGCACTAACAGCGTCTTTTTTGGCGATTAGTCGTGATTTCTCCGCCAAATCGATTTGCACTCGTAATTGGGCGTTATCCTCGCGAAGCAGTTCTTCCTGTAATTGATATTCTCGTGGTCATGACAGCAATAGTTCGCATTTTTATCTGTGACTGACATGAACCCTACAAATTCTACCACAGTTGGCCCCTTCAGGACCAAATTTTAACACAATTTATAAAATAAAGGTCTCAAGATTTTCCCGAAGGCGACACCTGGTTTCCGAATACCCGACCGTTTAGTTCTACCCAGATGCCTAACGCAAGCACTATCAAGCTAATTGTGTATCAAAATTTGGACGTGACGGGGAAAGGCACCGTTTTCTTCTCCTTTGCAAAATGTGTACGTTGTTAAGCCATGTTATAGGAAATCCCAGGGCTCTTCATTGACGACGAAGAGTGTCAATTTAATTCGTTACTTACCTGTAATTGCAAGATTCCGCAGGACACCTGCAATCGCGCTAATTCGGTGTTGGATGCAGATGCGGTGGTCTGAAATCGGAAAATGTAGGTATTCATAGAAGGAAGCCATCTTCAGGGCCATGGATACATCATAAAAATTCTAATATGCACTCAAACTAATCGCAAGAATTTCGATTCAGCCTGCTCTAAGATTCAGGACAAAAGCTACCCCCGAGAAAACTAGAAAAATTCAGTGGAATCAAGTGTTTTGCAAGGCATATCAATAGAGACGCTGCAAGTGGCGGAATTGTCCCGAGTCCAAACGAGGGAAAATATTGTAATGATTTCTTGTTAATGACTGTTTATCAGTGAATAGTGGTACAAAACTTTCAAAAACTATGGTCCACGACCTTTCAATGATTCAGCTCTGAATAATTCTTGAATCCATTCAAATCTGATAAAAAGCGCAAGATCCAATGAAGGATTTTTAGACTTGTTCTGGTTGTGCAATGAATGGTCCCCAGGTAGCGTAATTTGTAGCGCACTTGCCCGGGAAGCGAGAGGTGCGAGTTTGAGTCCTGTCTGGAGCGAAAATGTTGTTCATGACCCAGCAGTCTTTAAAAAAATTTAATTAATCAAAATTCCCCGAAAAAAGTCCTTCCTCTACAGTTCATTGCCTCCTCTGGACGCGATGGATGGACAAGAAATATGTACATGTTGATGAAAACCACTTTGTGAAAGTACTTGTATCCTATACTAAGCAAACCCGGCTCGCATTCTCAGCAAGAGGTGGAAGAGTTTAGCTGAAATTTTGCTACCGGCATTTGGAGCAAGGGCAATCTCCCCTCTCCCGCATGAGATATTGAAAGAAAAACGTGATTTTCTAGAACGCAAATTAAATTCCTTTCAGAATTTTCTATTCCATATGCATCAGTCCAGATGTCTGCTTCTTAATTTACGATTTTTTCAGAGGGTCAAGTGCGCTCGGTCAGGTGAGTTGTTGCGCATCACGTGCTTTGGGACGTTGAAATAAACAGGGCATTCCTGAGAAAAAAAATCACGCTCAGTAGGGAAGTAAATGAGAAAGACTTCGAAAGCGGTCTGGTAGTTTTCTCAGAATCATAGACAAAGGCTGGTGACTGGCGAGAAAGGTGGGAGGAATAGCAAGCGCTGACGATCGCGGAAGAGATGGAATAATTGGCATGTGATATTGAGGGCCGAACGGGATGCACGGGGACAGGGACGTCTGCGATAAAAATCTCTCTGAGCGACGACGCATAAAATATGTGGCGGCGATTAGCGACGTCAGGTGCCTTTTTGAGCGAGGTAGGATACTCTGACGTTGGGACCAAGAAGGCTGGTCCCATCGGCTAACTTGTAAGCCCTGAGCGCGAAACTGAAGGAGTGGGCAGAAATCAATCATGAATGTAAAAAAAAAGCAAACACATGAAGGAGGGGTGTTGAAGGATATCCAGTCAAAAAAGCCGCGGATAACCTATCTAAAGAGGTTCGGAAAAAAATCCTGACTCGAGATCATGACAAGGATGAGGATAAAGTTTTCGGCGTGATCAATCCCTTCTAGGAATGCGCCACACATTCTACCTTCATCAAAATCGTAGTGGCATTTGAATGCGATAAAAGCTATACCTACGGGTGCAAAGCCATACCAACAAGCATTTCTATCCTGCCAGGTGAGCCTGATGCCAATGAACCCACCCCGGAGATGGAAAACGTGGTTGGTGCAGGAAAAGTTCGATCCAGGACGTTCAGCCCAGACCCTCTAAGTGTTGGCGACGCCACTGGCCACTGAATTCCTTTGCCGTAGTTCAAATAAGGGCTCAGTGCGCGGAAACGTGATGAAAAACCCTGTGAAAGTTGGATGGTCACACGAGTAGCCGTGGCTAGGCGAATGAAGACAGCAGATCTGACACGAAAGGGTGCATGGAAAGAGAACCAGTCACTAATCAGAAGGAATGGCGACTGGTCAAGAGTTCCGTGGATCAAATGGATGCACATTCCATTATCCGCGAACGGGAAACGTATCAGTTCGAAGAGCGGGCACAAATCATTCAAGTTTTTAGCCTGCACAAATTTCTTTACAGGCAGATTGGAAGTCAAGGCTTCAGTTTTCGCTTTCGCTTATCTGTCCACCCCAGCTGTGCACTTCCTACCAGAGCTTATTGTCGATCGCCGGCAGCGCAATTAGCCAAACAAAGGCCGAAAGTTTACGCAAAATCGTCTCCTAGTTACAGTAATTTGATGGTCCATCGAATATGAAAGGTGATCTAGTAAAGATGTGACAATGAAAAATGAAAGACCATACCCCTGGAAGCCTGAGCGATAGGACTTCACTCTGCCCGTTTACATTGGACGAGCTTACAGTCTAGATGCTAGTCGTTTGGACGAGTAGGTGCCGCGACCAAATATTAAAGAGACCGAACAGAAGTCAATGAAACATGTGGAAATGTTTGAAATTAATGAAGGTTTAAAATGAAAATCAATGGTGATCAATAGAGTTGGCATGTTGATGACATTTGTTTCGCAAAAGTCAACACACCCACTCGAAGGTGAGACTGTCATTAGGTTCGGGGACTACCTAAGTATTTCGCTACACCCTCGCCGCAAAAAAAACACACATCCGCTTTTTTCCCACCTGTTTTCCGTTTTCCCTGATGCGCATACAACCCATGTGTACACCCGGATTATTTTACGTGAGTTATCGGCCCCCATCCCCCAAATAGTAGCATCCGTCAAACAGCCGAAAACGACATAAGTTGTGCACTTTAGCCAAAGTTAAGAAACTTCAGAATAGAATAGACGCAAGATGGTTAGCAACTGGACAACTCCAGAAAGACGAGCTCATGAATAGGATACGGTAGACCCTAAACGAACAATAAAAGCTGAAGGTTTCTATTACGGTGAAGGTGTAAGTGCAACACGTTCAGCCCTACCCTACCCCGCTTTGGTGGATGTTCTAGAGCCTGGAGAGATACTGTTACTATTATACTATTAGACCTAAATATGATAGAAATGGTCACTTCTTGTTTCGGGATTCTTGGCAACGGATGAAGAAATACTCGTGAATGATAAACACCATAGCCTACGAAGGCACCAGGGCCCTAAGGCTGCGAAAGTGTGCGCCAAAAATCGCACTCCCCTTACCCCATTTACTGCCTCATCACTTTTCAAGAGACTAAAGGAATTTTGATCGAAATTCATCCATGACTGTGGATTTGACTAGAAACTTGCCTCCTGAGTAATTCGACCCGTAGGACACGAATATCACACCGGTTTAGCGCGACAGCACTTGGCGCCGGCGCTACCACAACAGTTCCGCGCGGGCGCCCGTGACGCACGGCTACAGGCTCTCTCGTAACACACTATATAAGTACTATCGTGTTCTACCGGTCGAAAAACGCCTGAAGGCGAGAGAGTCTGAACACACACACACACACCACACGTGGGCCAATCCACATCACGACAATATTTCATAAAAACCCGCTCAGTCTTGACGGGGGGTGGCAAGTAAGGGTGGAAATAGTCCAACACTATACATTACTACCATCGTTCACAATAATAAAATGAAATCGAAATAGACAGTGTAATAGATGAAAGCATTGGTGAGCAGCATATTATGACTCCCATGCTTCAAGGAAACCTGCAACTTGCTCGAGCGACCTCGAGCCGAATCACTGTCTAGAAGGGCTAGGGAACGCCCGGTTGATGGGACTGATAAATCAGGATCTCGTCGGGATATCGACTGGCTATGATACCTAATTCGAATGCGCAGCGGCGACACATCAATGACGTGTTGATAAATAGCGTAGTCGTAATAATCCCGGTCGGTGTAAGAAGCACCTAAGTAGAGCCAGATGCACTCTTCAATTCCCTGCCGCCATTCTCAACGCGGACGTATTACAGCGCGTTAAAATGCGAACGAAAGTTGACGTCGATCTACCACGATGCTGCACCTCACAACAGAATCAAACGCGTTCCGTTTTCAAACCAGAAGTTCTGAGCTCGTTCTTCTCTAAGTGGGGGGCGGGGCAGCTCAACAGAATCAGCTATAGTGGTCCCCTATGCGACGCATTGCTCCTTTTCACCAAAATGATCAGAAAACCCGTCAAGCACGACTCGTTCCTCCTGACAATCTCTTCCGGGTCCACAAATACTACCCCCTTCCCGATCTCTTGACATTCGCCAAACGGCCAATTACGACCACTTTAAAATTGTAGACACGGTCCCCTCCCTGGTTGGGAACTGCCGGCAAAAGTCGTTGCCGAGACATAGGCCAGCGCATTCACCGCTTCGCTACTCCGTGATTGAATTCGCCATCGACATTAGTCGAGTTTAATCTACGATACATCAGTGTCGCTCACCGCCTCCTGAGCCCAAAGCGTTACCTTTATTGTGTCGCTAATATCGGCGAAAGCGGTGCACCTGGCTAACTGGCGCCGCTTACACACGCACGGCCCCGGCGACAAACTTCTGATCGTAGCGTCTCTACGCCAACAAAACCTTCCTACCCCTTGCAGGTGGACAATTGCGCCAGTCGGCCTGGGGTAATGCACGAGTGGTATCATTACAAGTAGGACCAAACCTTTGGGGGTTCATGCGCTTGGGACAAATGCGAATGTTAAACCCTACCGAGTTTCGGCTGAGCTCCTCGATTCCACGCTTGGCCGAGGCGATTTCACTGTTCTTAGCGGCAACTTCAATTTGAAGCTCTCGAACCTTCTCCTGTGCAAGGAACACCTGAAAATGGGAATTCTAAATTGAGAGAAAAATGTAAAGGTTCCAAGAATACTGGCGAAAGTGTCAAAAGTAGTGAAGCAACAGAGTGAGTGGGAGTCGATAGGCTGAAGAGAGTGCCACGGTGGAAGTGGCCGTCGGATGCTCTTAGCCAGCAAAGTAAGGCCATAAAACCGAGACCCATCCCACATGGCCGACTTTGCTCATCGAGCAAAAAACGCCCGTAGGACCCAATCAGCCTCGTGATGACAAGAAAACCATACCAGCAGTCGATCAAGCCAGAGCAATCTCATCAAAACATTACCCGTATTTGTCAGCAAATGCCTGATTATGAACAAAACTTTCCGCCCCCAGGCCGAGACTCAGCTCGGCACGCTCTCCGCTTACTGCAGTCGAGTGGCTACAAGTCAGGTTTGAGTCCAGCTCAGGGCGCAAGTTTTGATCACAACCCAACATTCTTGTGAGACATTCGCAATCTGAAATGTGGCGCTAAAACAGCAGCCTGAAACACAAAAACTACCGAACCTGTTCTTGAGTGTGACGTTCTCTTTGGACAGCTCACGGACACGATCGTCGCTTTCGTTCAGCGAGACACTTTCGCTTCTCCTGAAATCTCCGAACGGTGAGAAAGTGAGACGTGAAATCACCCAGCAGGAGCGGCAAATTCGCATCCGATGAGCGACATCTGGATCTGCCTATGTATGCATGTTGATTTAGCATGCAAATGGGTCAGAAAATGGCGTAGGTCTATAATTTTCAAAATTTTCATACGGTGTGGACCAACCGAGCGTTTTCTCGTGGACCCGCATAGGAAGAAGATGTGCGTTGGAAGCGCTTTGCAAAGGACCCAAATTTCTGCTAGAGTAATGAAGTTTTGCCGGCGTGGGTGTAAAGCGGAAGCGAAAGGTTCTACGCACCCGGACCGCTCTCGAGACAAGAACTGGAATTCTGTGGAACTTTGTCAGTGCTTGCCCCTTCCCCCCCCCCCCCAATTTCCACTGATGAGTCCTACGGTTCTTTGAAATAAAAAGGAACAACTTAGATAAACGGAATCAGTATCACGACATTCGCAACTATTTTTTTAACCAAATTTTAAACCCAATAAATAATTAAACAGCAACTTCACAGATAGGAATATTGATGGCAAGAATTTTCGTTTCTCGTCCTTGCGAGCTTTAAGAACGGGTGAATCTGAATATAAATTTGAAGTTGGTAGACACCAACAACGTGTTTACTTGGATTCTGTAAAGCTCAATTTGGTGAATAACTGGAATTTGGTCCTACCAATTCATCCTCCAACCAAAAGAAACTTTCTGTATGCGTTTAATTTATTCACCGCTATTTCGTCGGTCAAACAAACGTGTAAACAGGACTGTTTACGGACTATTTGGACTTGACTTCAATGGTCATGCTCCGAACGGTTAGAGCACAAACAATTAGAGAACGATGCCTGGCTCGGCTCCAAACTCAAGGTAAGATTAGAGCTTTAGCTGAGCCCTGGAGGTAAGGTGGGGGTTTCTGAAGTGGGCGAGAAAACTGCAAATGGAAAAGTGACAGGCTGGAGACTACAGTATTTATGAGCCCTGTTTAGGTGAGAGTACGTAGGAGCGAGCACCAAATAGAAGTGGTTTGAAGGTGGAGCTCGAGTAGTCCGTCGACGATCCAGGACGGCGCCTTTTTTCCTTCCACTACCCACTTCCCTTTTTTTTGACGGCGTGTTTTTTGAAACTAATTTCAGAGCCCATCGCTTTCAATGCGCCTGACGTGAGCTGTGTGACGAAACGCTGAAATACGATATCCACTCGACTGCTGTTGCATGAGCGAAAACGCTCAAAGGCCTATGAAGATTCGTTGGTATTTTAAAATTCTCGGTCCATTTTCCAGAGGAAATCACAACGGCTCTGCAGCAACCGAACCTATTTTTGACTCCTATCACTTTCCTGGTCGTTTTTGTCAGATTAAGGTGACCAAATGATGGGAATGTTGTGAAAAAATAAAAAGTCTTGAACGCGGTTTTCCAAACTAAGCTTTTTAAGTGAACGTGGCTGGAAGATTGAATTTCCGCAGCTTCCTTATGGTCATTCTTTACACAAAGGGTGTGGTTTCGCTAGAACAAAAACGACTTCTTCGCATTTCGCATCGGAAAATCTCACGCTCAGGCGACATAGCGAGAGTCGCTTTTTGTTCTAGCTGTTCTGTTGGAACGCTCAGTCCATTGCTGATCATATGCAGTACCGGTTCCCTAGCAAAAATGTTTTGCGTTGGCGAAAAGCGAAAAGTCGTTGCTTTCCTGACGAGCCCACCACTCCAGTGAGCTTCGATGATCATTTCTCGCTACTCAATATTTGCCCAAGACTGCAGTCAAGGCTCGATAAATATGATAGTTCAGATCCGAAGTCGATGGGTTCCAAATTTTGAAATGGTGGGGAAGGGTTTGAGGCGCAACAGTTGGAGGGGTATGGGGCTCATTTTGAATCGAAGTCCAGCCGGATCAACAAACACTTTATTCTTGACATAACCCAAATTGATGTCAATTAGTATGGATTGGTATGGATTGATGAAAACCCTGCGTGCTGGCTTCCTATCCCAGTTTCTTCTGGGATAAGAAGATCCTTCATGATTTCGAATAAAAGTAAAAAATCAGAAAAACCATCCGAAGTTAAAAATAGGCAGCGAATATTACCTCAATTTCTCGATGTCGCTCTTCAAATCGTTCAACTCGGCAATTTGCGTGTGTTGTTGCAACCGCAACGCGTCTGCTTCACGTTTAGCGGCACTCAATGCTCCCATGATGACGTCATCGATTGAATCGATCAACTGCAAGTAGTCTATTTTGAATGGTAATTCAAGTTTTCAATTTTAATATATGCACCTGGTGATCATCCATGTTCACATCGATTTTGCCACCGTTCAGAGCAATCGCTGCGCAAACGCTTCGCAACCTGCCCACCAGCTCTGCCGCTTTTGATTTTTCCGTAATAAGGTCTTCTCGGAGTCGTTGAGTTTTCTGCGACTCGAGCTCCATCTGAAAATTGGTGGCTTTTCTGGGGTAACATGAGTAATTAGGAAAAATGGATGAAAGTCAGAACGAGGCAGAGACGCAGAAAAACGCGTGAACTCTGCCCGCCTGGTGCTGTCTGAAATAGCGATACCGTACCTGCTGCTGAAGCGTGCGATTTTCGGCTTCCAAATCGCCGATCCGCGTCTGTTGCTCAGCCAGACGACGTTCGCCGGAGGCCAGTCTTCGAGCCGCATCGTCAGAACATCTCGAGCGTTCCCTCAGCTCCTCACATTCTGCATCCAAAGCTTCGATTCGTGCCTGAAACGTATGTGTGGTATGGAAACTCGTCCACCTATGCTTATGTCTGGACTCCACCCACCTTCAACGAATTCCTCTCCGCTTCTGCGTTTCGTCGTGCTCGCTCACTATTCGCACTCTGCGTCTCTGCATTTGCCTTTTCTTCTCTGAGCTCGTCAACTGTCACTCGGAGGGATTTCTGTTCCTCGCAGACTCGTTGCAACTGCTTCTCTGTCTGTTTTCTTTCTTCCTTTACGCTACACAATTTACGACGCAATTCCTGCAGTTCCGTTTCGACCTCCATCACCTAAACCATGCTTATAAAATATAAAATAAATATAATAAAATAAATAAAATATTATAAAATAATATTGAATGGTCGAGTCAAAATTGCACGAGAATGCCTGCGGCGGAGGGGAAGGGTGGGGTTGGGGGGTGACGAAATCATGCAAAAAGATGTGACAAAAGTGGAACCCTTCCCTGTGGTAAAAAGCAAAGGCTCCTAGCGTAGTCTGATGATGGATTCATCTCGGCTGGCAAGACTTAAAGGCACCCTACACCCCTTTCACTATCTTGTCCATTTTATTAGACTGCTTTATCGTGCTATTGTTTTTTGCATTTTATTTATTTAGTTCCGATTGCTAGCATGGATTCGGGTCCAACTTGTCAAAATCACATGAGAGGTATTCAGGAGGAGGTAAGAGGGAACTGTGGCCCATCCCTAGATTATAACCCAACTGAAGCCAACGTTTTGCGATAAGAATCGCAGGAAATCGAATGGGAGTAAGATATTTCAATAATTCCAACAACAACAAGATATAGAATACATCTGATGGGAATTTATTCGACCCTGGAATTCCATCAGAAGTTTCAATGGCTAAGTAAAATTCACCTTGGTCTGAGCTTCTTGCTCGAATTTACCGACCAAACTCGGTTTGGAATTGAGCGAACTTCTTCCGCGCGTCGATCAGCGACATTACCGACTCGTCGCGTTCGGCACGCAGTTTCTCACGTTCGGCTGCTGTCTTAAGATGAATAAATAATCGAGTTATTAAACCAAAATGGCAGCAAACGAGCCCACTTCGACGATTTCCTGATTTAGCTGCGACAGTGTGGATTCGGCGGTTTGCAGTTGTCGTTGCATGAGCTCGTTCTCAGCCCTAGTCTCAGTTCCCGTTGTTCTCCATGCTCCACTCTTCAGCTGCATCCCTTCAAGCAGATGAACACTGTCGAACTGCAAGAAGGCGTATATGAGAAATTTTAAGGTACTGAAATAGGCCTGCAGAACTTACTTTTATGCGGATTCTAGATGGGAAGTGGACGTTTTCAGATTTCTCCAGACGCAACTGCATTCATTTCGCTTCTTTCACTGTCGGCCATCTCATCGGCTAACGAGCCCGAAACTCTCCTGTGGCACATGGTCTGCGCCGTGCATGCGTCTAAAATGACAACAGTTATTCAGGAGCAGTGACATTGAGCCTATCTTGAAGGTTTGTGCACAACTTACTGGTGGCTGTGGGAGGGGTACGAAGGGCGGAGCTTGGAACAAAAACGCCTTCCACCTCGCAGCTTGCTTCTTAGGATGTATTTCTCACATTTGAACATAACATCGAGTAACAAGGAGTTTTGTTTTTGAGGCACGGCAACAGTCGTCTCCTGTTTCGGAATTCCTACGATAGGGCTGACATCAGGGACTTTGGAGAAAGAATTAGCAGGGGCGGGTGCACCAAGAACCCAACTTGCGATTGGGTTACCAAAGCTCGGCATCTCTGGCCGATTTTCCTATTCTTGGACCGAAAAAGTAACTTTCATTCGACCAGAGTAGGGACTGAAGACTTTCGGGGGACTTTCATTCCCCAGTTGGGGACTTGTGAGGTTTGCCACGCTCGCATCCACGTCTGTTGGGCGCCGGTTGAACTTTCCATTCATAATGTCGGGGAATGTTCAGGATTGAAATCGTCTGTAGGGACAGTAGGTAGGTTTAGGAACTCCAATAATTTGCCCTGATGAATATGGACGTGAGGAACATCTGAAGCGGGACTGTCCTTTACGTTTATTATTTTAATCTACGCAGAAAAAAGTGCAAAAAAAAAGAAAAGAAAACACTTGATTACGGCCGCGGATCTGTAGCGAGCAGTGAACATGAGAGACGGAGCTTTTAGAGCAGTGCATAAGTCGAGATTGAAAACAAAAAATGAAAATGGACACTTGATGAACTCGATTGCAAAAGCTGTATGCTAATGAATGAATCGTGATACTGCGCCTTGAGAGATAATCGGAAGCAAATTGGGGCAGACAACAAAAAACCATTCCCCCGCTCGACTTGGTGGAAAAGTGCTTTTCTTTATCTGCACTGTCAGGTATAACGGCCAATAATATGAAGCAATTGCCTCAAAATGGTCCTAGCACTGGCTGGCGTCGCGGTATTATTCTTGGATATTGTCTCGGCCTGATGTTAGTTAGTCCTTCCGTGGCTTCACCTTTGAACACTTGTGATAAGCTGTTTATTAGATAAGAATGCTGAACGTTGGTGTCTTCTATTTAGCCAGCGCTCAGTGTGCTTTACTTTGAAAAGTTCAGCCTTAGGTGGATGCAAAATAAGCACTCCTATTATTTGAATATTTGGGAAGAGCTTAAGTGCATGGCGCATTCCAATTGTCAACGCCTAACATTCCATTTTTATACCATAACCAACATAAAATAAACAACGATGACGTTACCTTTCCATTTCCAACATTTTCGCATTGACTATCATCAGTTCGTTTTCAAGACGTGACTGCTCCACAAGAAGCTCCTCGATTCTTGTGTTTTTCTGAAAAACGTTTTTGAGTTGAGTAAGTTTTCGGTCCCGGGACACGGTGGAGGTACGGTCTACTCACCACGCCAATGTCGGCCTGGAGACCTCTCATGTTCTGCTGAGCTTCGTTGAGTCGCGTCTGCATCTCGGTCTGATTCTACAAAAGAGATTTCTGAGGATACTGTACCCAAGCCTCGGTAAAAAATTATTTCTCCTCGATGTTCAGAGCGACAAGGGACCCAAACGATGATACTTTCAATTGTTTATCACCTTCCCAATGTCCTTCGCTTAAAATTCGCTCGAGGATACATTGAATAAAATAGATGAAATAAAATAATTATTCAAAAAATGCTCATCGAACAACTGATACGATCCGGGTGAAGAAATCAGCGAACAATGTAAATTGATGAAGTGATAGGCTGACCTTTTTCTCCTGACGGAGTAACTCGAGCTCGTTTTCAAGTTGTTCGACCGACATTTCCAAAGTGGCATTGTCAGCTCGTTGATGCTTAAAAGAAGTCGTATTGAACTGAATGAAAAGGAGAACCTGTTTGGAGAAAAAAGGATAGCCTCTCAAAGAGGAAAGAGGAGATGCATCAATGGCTTTCATCGCAGTTTGATGAGATATGGCAAGATCAGCAACTACGTGAGCGGTGGGGGGAGAGAAAACATCCGTTACCTTCAGTTTCTGGTAATGCTTACTTGCTTCTCATTAAGGATGACACACGGAAGCCTAGGAGGGGTGATCTCGAGCTCGTCCAATACCCACCCTCAGATTTGTACAGCGCATGGTTCCTCCGCACATCTGCACGGATCCTTCCGTGGTGTTGGCCCCTCTGATCGGCAAATTTGGGCGGTTTAAAACCAAGTGTGATGCCAAATACTTGTACAGGCGCTTACTACGCAGATGTATGAACCTGTGGAATTGGCTGCACTCGGGTCAACTACAGAAAATGTGGAAATAAAAATTGGTCTCGTTCATTGACCACAGGAAAAGTGCTGGAATTGCGGGTTTTCTATGAGGTTCACTAGAACCGATGATTCACTCTGAGTCGAGCTGCTACTAATATTGCAGGAAACACTACCAAGAAGAAGGTCCAAAGGGAAACAGGCAAGATCAGAGCCGAAAGTTATATCACTGCTATCCACTAGTCTGCACCTAAGCCAAAATGACGCTGCTATCGCTTCATGATGCTTGCCTGCATTTCAGTGATGGTCTCTTCTGCAGATAACGAGAGTTCCTAAATAACGAACTCTCGCATCTACCTCCTGAGCAGGGTCAACCGTGCGCTCGCACTATTCGAACGAGTGGTCGCATTTGTGGTTGATTTTGGAGGGGGGATCGCATTCAGGGTTGAGGGGATTAGTAATTGGTTGGGTGAATGGGCGAGGTGATTTAGAATGGTTTTTGAGGGATTTGGTGGGAGTTGGGCTGTGTCGACTGGTCCCAGAATCAAATACTATAGAGACAAAATGTGTAATAAACAATGTGAGACCTCAAAATTTATTGCAAAAGACTCAAAACTTTTGCAATAAATTTTGAGGTCTCACATTGTTTATTACACACAACATGAGACTTCGGGACAGAACAATTTCTAAACTATAGAGACAGTCATGCTGGCGAGAGTGGTGGTCGGGGTAGGGAGAAGGGTGGTCGTTTAGAGGAGCCTCCTGACAATGAGTCTCATGGTGGTGGCAGGATGTCGCATCGAGATCCCCCAAAGGAGGAGGGGATCGCGAAATTTGTGAAAACGCTTGACCCTGCTCCTGAGTTGAATAGTGAAGTTTGAAACACGTGAAGCGGATAGCACGCTCAAACGGCTAGCAGCACAGTCCATCTTTGAACTTCTGATGCTTTTCGAATGTGAGGAAAGCATATGATTTAGAAAGAAGTCCTTGCTGAGGACGGCCTTGCCCTGGGAGAAATCCCTTATTTCGTGGTGAAGCCCAGTTTGTTTCCAACCGAGAATTTTCAGGGAAGCTTATCGGACTTATAGATATCAACATACCTCCAACTGAGACTGAACATAATCCAACTTTGTTAGTTTCTCGTGTAGATGCGAATTTTCGCGTTCGAGTTTCTCCAGCCGATCGAGCTGAAATGGGCGTGGAATCAGAGAAGATGCATAAGAAAAAATAGGGTGAAGTGACACTAACCTTCTGCTGGACACAGTCCAACTCGTCCCGCAAGTCCTTTGCTGCACGTGCATCTTTCACTAGCTCTATTCGTTCGTCCTTTAACTTTCTCACCTGCAATTCGAAAATAGCATTTGATAGGAAGTTCATGATTACCGTCTAGCTATAGCTGAACAAACCTCAGCTTCCGACGCTTCCAATTCGTCTGTGAGTTCGTTAATTCGGTCATCCTTGTCTTCTCTGAAAGTATCTGACTGGATTTTTCTCCACAAATGGGGTAGTTGGTTTATTAGAGTGTACCTCCCAAAGCAATATGAATAGGTTGAAGCATTCTACTCGGTTTAGCCTGACCACTTCCACACAAGGAGGATAAAGACTGGGACAGCTTCCCATGGCCGCCGAAAAGGTCTCCAATAACCATTTAAGAGAAGAACCGCAGGGGAGCAACGTTATTGTTAGGCGTACAGTCCGCGGGTCAGCCTTGGCCGTCCGCAAAATAAAACGAAGAGGGGACTGAATCAAAACACGACAAAGAACCCAAAAATTTCTGCAAAAAATTGCGCCAGTCACTATTCCGCTTCCCAACCCTTTCATACTTCAGCGTCAATCCCAGCAAAAACATTGCTATCTCTCCTCACACTAAGCCAAGTACGCCCCCCCCCCCTCTGTCGGCGAAGATAACATCGATGACTTGTTTCATCCTGCTTCGAAGTTTCGATTTCCCTTGAATGGCAAAATTGGCCTCGTCAAAGATGGTGTTACCGGTTCGAGAGTCTAGGCCATTCATTCACAGATTTCTTTGATAACTCCATTGTACGTTTTTGACTTCCCTTATCCTTTTATGGGCCCGTCCATATAGCCTTGAAAAACTCTTATTGGATTTCCGACCGGCGTTAATGGTACTTGTTTGAGTGCCTCGAATTCCATTCCGCATGATACTTTAGAGAATCTCATTTTCGTACTGAGAAAAAAATGCTTACGTTTCTTTGCGAAGTTTTCGGAGCTCGGCGTTTTTTGCGCTCAGTTCAACTGTGGAATGCCGGTCAAGGTAGGGCGGTGATGGGCTGCGTCGACCTGAATTCACTATAGGTTTCAAAGGTGAAGAAAACGAAGCAAAATGCTTGGAATCGATTGAAAACTTATGAGGCAGGGATCCGTGCATGAATATCAACACTTTGGACTTACTGTATGATTTAAGCTTTTACTAGACCCTTTGGATGAAAAACAACTGGCAGACTGAATTTTCCAGAATACTCATACTCATCGCATCTTAGTTGATATAGGAGGATAATTGGGGAGTTTGTTTGTGCTGATCGAGCCCTTTTGGCTGCGCCATGCAGTCGTCTCCAACTAATAATTGAAAGTGAAGTTGACTGTCCTTCAATGATTCCTATGGAATCTCGAGCGGAATGGAACATTTTGCAGAATCGCTTCGCGCAATTCTTGCGAGAGACATTTTCCACATCCTTTCCTCACTTATTCTTTGGCGGTGGGCTTATGTGATGCAAATTACAGCCCATTATTCTGATTATGGTGCTGAACAAGTGATTCTGACGTACTGCGACCGCCTTGCAGCCTCTCTTTTATACGCTTTGGATCTAGCGTCTGTTTTCAAGGTGCTATTTTATTGGTCGCAGCTTATTTGGGCTCCTAGTCTCTCTGCTACACTTCTGTTGATACGTCTACTATTCAAAGGAATCGAATCATGAGGCCAAGGGTTTTTATGACGCGATATGAAAAGGACTGTAGAAACAGACGACAAAGGTCTTCTTCTTGTTCTCCTAGCATTAATCCTGCGCAGTTGCAGAGTCCGCTGGGCAAAGGTAATCAAAGAAAAATGGTCCCTATGTCTTTAACACGTGGAGCGACAAATTTTGCTAAAGGAAGTTTTTTTGGAAGAATCTTCTTTTCGAAGGAACGAAGAAATGTTTAAAAATTTATTTGAAACACTCACTTGGACGCTTTTCAATTCGTCGTTGAGTCAGTTCGATCTCACCGTTAACTGATGAGCTTTCGGTAGAACTTCCGCCTCCATCGCTCTCCTAAATAAGCCAAAATTTAGGAGAAACCTCAAAGGCTGAATAGAATCCGTACCGTATCGGCCATCTGAAAGAGGGTTTGTGCGTAGGCGTCACGTTGTTCCATGAGTTGTTCGATGTGATCTACAACCGTACCGTCGTATCGGGTTAATGAGTCAATACTCAGCACGACTGATGAGGTTTCGGTGATCTGAAAGAAGAACACCGTAAGAAGATCTTACGTCAAGCAAGCCCTACTTAATGAACGCCGAATATCCAGGTGGTGGGGGGTGCAATAAAAAATGGCGCTCAGTTGTGTGCAAAAAATGTGGCCCAAGCCGAGCATTGATCCTGATTTCCGCACCAAGCAGTAGCGATATCATTATCCCATCAAGGGTCATAATTTATTTCACAATCAGCTCAGCCTTCAACAATATTATGAATTTCCTCTTTTTTCACCATAAGTTATTTTTCTTTACTTTTTTCATCGCTCTACTCTTCCCGATCACGAAAAGAGACATGAAAGGGAGGGACAAAAGGAATGGGTTCAGCATCGTGAGAAAATCCCCTTATGAGAGGTCACCACTGCACGCCACCGCCGCCAATAGTTCTCAAGCTTCTTTTGGTGTGAGGAACGCTCGTACAGCCTTTTGTTAAGCTGTATCCCAAGGAAGGATTCTCCAAGCATTGCTCCCCTGCCCCCATCTGATCTACTGTCTCTACCAAGTCTTTATTTTATTGGTAGAGGCTTACTTGGGCTACTGTAGCGTAAAATTAAATATTACGGAATCAAACCCTTCAAAATTCATATTCTCTACGGGCATTCATCAATATTGAAAAATGAGAAGGGCACCTACCCCGGAAGACGCGTCCTGCCCATAAAAAAAGAGACAACCTCATCTATCATCATAAATAATGATCCCAAAGACGAATTAGCCACCGCGAAGATTTATGGCCCCGAAGAGATGTTGTAATGTCCCAAATAAATGTTTTCAATGGGAAAAATCAAAGGAGGATATTTTCGTGCAGGAAAAAATGCACGTGCACATTGTTTAGGAAGCATGGGAGGTCTGAAGGCAAACCTTCTGGATCTCCTTGGCGATGCCCTGTTGAAGGCGCTTTTCGAGTTTGGTGATTCGGCTCACAAACGTCTTCTTCTTATCGCCTTGAACTGCACAACCGAGTAGAAGCAGTACAAACTTGTTCAGTTCCTCACCGGACACATCTGCAAAGTATCGATCTTTACTAATCAATAGAAGATGGAACATCTCGTAGGAGAGAGTATCAAGACAGAGGAACTTCAGAAATGGTGGGTGAATGAGCCGGAAATATTGCAGCGGGGAGGGGGAGGGGTAGGCTTCTGAGTAGAAGTGCGAAAACGCCGATCCAGCTGGGAAGAGCGGTCGCCTTCATAGAGAATAACCCCAATCAAATGATAACAAGGTCAAGTTTGACAGTGTTCTTGTTCGCTTGATGGATGAGTACACTTTTTTTCCTGGAAGCGTAAACCACCAGAGACCTGGCGCTCACAACTGGGGTGAGCACCCGTTCACGTAGACCGGGAAAGCTAATCTATTTTCTACAAATGTGGTACGATTTTGCACGAAATCAGAATGTATGTATAACAAATAAAGCTGACGCTGAAGCAGTAGCCGATATGGAATTCGGAGAACGGGGAATCGAAAGACGAGACGGGTCCGAAAAGCCGAAAAGCAAACACGACCACTGCAACATTAGCGCAACAGGCATTTCCTGCGATCATGCCCAAGTAGCCCGTCGGTGGCCCGCCCGGTTGGTCAGCATGACGATAACGATGGAGCATCGCAAGGAATTCTCATTATGACAGACGATGACGAGAAATGACAGCGTATGACGCGCGGGTATTGTCTGATTAGCGGGGAAAAAAGAAGGCCGGCAGAACCTATTGATGAGTGGAATAGCGGTAGAGGAAAAGAAATAGGCAACAAAAACGTTTCTGGATTGCAAAGGCTCTGAGCACCAGAAAAAGAGTAATAATCTTCGGAATTCATTCAGATTCAATAGTGATCGAAGTTGGTGTAATAGCAAGTAGCGCTGCTTCCTAGCTGCATGACCCGACGATCAAATCCTATATTGCACGCGGTCAATGCCAACTAAGCCTTCCATCCGTATGGATTCGATTAACTTGGAACAAAAGCAGAGAAAAACACTGATTAGTTCATCGCACGGTCCACGCAAGTCACAATGTAGGCTCAATCGCGGCTGAATGGAAATGGAATGCCTGGCGCATCCTGAATAGGCTTTGAACGACGCCCAGCGCTTCATTCTTTCTACTTTGTTCAAGCAGCTCTACAAAATTCGTAAAATTTATAGAAATATATTCAAAATTCAAATATTCAAATAATAATATAAATCCAAATATAGTCATATTTATCGGTTTCATAAATATTTTTGTCATAGCCCTGGCCAGGAAACGTCGCTGTTGAACCCCCTTTTTTGGGATGCGCCATGCAAGCCTATTCATCTTTAAAAAAACATGGTCAAATGTACAGTCGGTTAGAACTGCAAACTATGCCGAAAT